GATCTCCATACATTTATAGGTGTGTGAAGTGTGCACCTGCAGAGTGACAGTACTGTTCATATTTATCGACCTATATACGGTATGTAGCTAGCTCACCTTTGAAGGCTTTCTCGGCCTTCATGTTCTTCCTGGTGCAGTCGGCGCACTTGACCAGGCCGACGACCACGGACGCCGCCTCGGCGTTGGCGACGGCGATCGCCAGCAGGACGGCGAGGACGAGCGCTCTCGGAGCTGCCATGCCTGAACCTCTACCACTCGCTTGCCTGTGTGAAGTGGCTGGTCGATGGATGGATGGATGGATGAATGGAACAGGCGACGCGTGGCTTATATAGGCATCCGCATTGATCCATCCAGCTCGGTCGATGATCTGGCTGCATGTTCGCCTGGTGGCCGGCGAAGTGATGCCTGACAACGAGAGACCGGCTAACTCGCCGAAATTTCAGATGGCGAATTAAAACTCGGTTGATCGATTCTGCACGCATCGATCAACGATCGATTTGATCCACGCACGTCGTTTCTCATTGCTCGGTTGGTGATCGATTTTGCATTGGCTGGTGGCCGATCATGTCCTTCTCGTTCGTAGGTTCCACGCGGCACATGGACAAGCATGCATGCATTCATGCAGCGTAAGTACGTAGTCTTTATCATCTACTAGAGCCTAAACAAGTTAGAGCCTACATACCTAATTCTCTGTTGGTCCCTTTCTACGTGCGGCGCGCCTCCGGGCCATTTATATGTACCAAATCAACAAGACTTGAGTTAGCAGCGTGGATTGGCTGGTTACAAGCTTAATTTGAAAGCAATCTTACAACCAATCAGAGGTAGGGTTTGAGCACCAGAGCAGCACAAGTGGCATAATAACATAAAAACTTCTCAAACTTCGAATATAATAACGCTGGTTGCGGTCGTACATATTTTGTTCTGCAGTTCAGAAGATAGTTGCATTCCATTTTACTTGAAAGTTGCTCTATGACAACTGGCTCATGGAATGTGCAATTTCTATTAATTGTTGCCACAATATGTTGACAAGTAGTTTCCATCACTAAATCGAGGTCGGACCTAATATATGAAAAGTTAAGTGCTCTTGATAAATGATGAATGGCAAACATCAGAAACCAAGTGATTACTAGATGATATCTGGCACATTGTTGGGAGGATGTTCTGCATTATATTTCAATGTATTTGTCTCGGTGGAACATGAGTAGTTAGATTAATATTATAATAAATAAAATGAAAATATATATGGTTTATTGTGTTTGATTACTGTATGGTTGTACAATTTTATTAGATGTAAATAGCATAATACTACAGTGGAAAGTCTCATTAATATTTGCATGTCGAGGTGAAGCTTTTCCTATGCATGGCTGCATCTTAAAGGTGGGTCTTTGACACGCTGAGATGGCTTTGCTTACATCTATACTTTTTTTTTGCGGTGAAAATAACAATACTTCATCTATACCAATATAAAAAGACCCAAAGGGGCAGACCCAATTAATCTCGGCCATCGAATCATGTCAATCCGACGACCTAGATCGCTTCAATGTCGAGCGCTCAACACATTTAGCGTTCAGTTAATTTCATGCCAAATATAATGCTAATCACATAATAACACACAAATAATATCTTACTTAATATCAACATGCACTTAATATACTTCCAAATTAACACGCATTGCACGTACACATTGACTAGTAGAGATAAATATGTTAGTGGCGCTAGCTATTTAGATTCTCCAGGATTCTCTCAAGATATAGAAAACTTATGTTTTTTATTGGTTGTGCCACCATAGAAGAACATCTTTTTCAGATTGAAAAGCTTTGCTATACCCTTTTTTACAGCAACCAACAACACATGGGTCGGCAAGAATGCCCCTGTTCCGGGACGGTTAATTACTAACAATGTTTTGATTGCCTATGAAAGTTTGCATCCAACAAAAATAGGAGAGTTCATAAAGATGGATGGTACATTGGATAAAATATCTAATGAGAATAATATTGAAGCATCGAGGCATAACGGTATGTGGGATTTAGTTTGGAACCTGCAGTGTCCGGCCAAGGTAATTTTTTTTTTTTGTGGAGGGCAATTGAAAGGGGCAAATCCCTGTCGTGCAAATCTTGTTGATAGACATATAAAGGTGTCTCCTCGTTGTCCCATTTGCAAATTATGGGCTGAGGAGTGAGGATGTTAAACATCTTCTATTTGAATACTCTTTGGCTAGTGAAGTGTGAAATCCCTCGGGACTTGGTGATATCATCCATAAATCATGTGTCTCTGGCTTGTCCTGGGAGGAGACACTGGAATATTTATTGAACTTCCTTGATCAAGAAGCGATGATTTTAGGACATGCATCCCGATAAATTATTGTTATTGCATCTTGGTATGTGTGGGAGCAGAGGAAACTCTTGCATGGCCAGTCGATACAAACACTGAGTCAAATTCATCTTGCAGTAAGAGAATTGGCAGCAAACTTCACATTAGCAAGCTACCTCAAACCAATTATGAAGCATGCAGGATGGACCAAGCCGGTCCATGGTTATTTAAAGCTCAATGTGGATACATTGTTTGACCTTGATACTCTCCAGGCATCTGTAGCACCTGTCATTCGAGATTGTATGGGAAAAATTGTTGTTGCTGAAAATCAAAGAGTTGATGTTTGTTTTGACGCTTTCACGGCCGAAGCCACAACACTGAGATATGGGGTTAATCTTGCACACACAATTGGGTGCAACAATCTTGAAGTGAATTTAGATAGCATGGAGGTGATTACGACACTGCTGGAAGGCGCATCATCGTCCGGCGTCACGAGTGCTTTATTTGAAGATTGCTACGTACAACATGTCTCTTGATTTACTCATTCCATGATCACTGTCCTAGAGAGGCTAATGCAACCGCACATGAATTAGCTATATTAGCTAGATCTTCTACACATGGTACTTGGATGAATGACGCGCCTTGGGTGCTAATCCAAATTCTTGTCAACAATGTAATGCTACTCGTTGTTGAATAAAAGGAGACCTTAAGTGTAAAAGAAAGAACATCCATGCGACCATGATACTTGGAAAATGGATGTTATATATGCGTAGATTTTCTCCACGGGGACACAACAAGCTCAGACAGTAACGTTTCATGTGGAGTATATGAACATCTTATAACCGTTGGATGCATGGCGAAATGGGACATGACCCAGAAAAGATTACGGTCTCATCCGGTTTACAGCGTTGTCCTTGGAGTTGCCAACTCCGGTGGAGCTTTCACTGAAAATGAGATGAAGCTTTATTATGTCCACTCATTTATGAATTCTCTTATTGCTTCCACCAATTCGGGAAACATCAAGTTTTTACTACATCTGTTCTTGGTGTGTATTCCATACTCTTAAACTAAAAGGTCGCGTTAGTTTGTACAATGTCATGAGTCACATGTTTTTGTCATACTCAATCAGTTTCAAAATACAAGGTGCATTAGTTTTTTAAGAAGTCAAACATTTTGATGTTGGATCAAGTTTAAAGCAAAACATATCAATATCTGCAATACTAAAAAATAAAAAAAATGAAAAATATTTAATGGTGATTCTAGTGATAATGATTCTGTATTTGGAACGAAGACGCTAGTAGACATTGAAAATAATGATTCTGTATTGTAGACATTGAAACGGAGGGAGTGTCTATTTGATCAAATAAACATGGAAGTCAGCAGTGTCATATACTTTGATGCGTCAACCTGCAATCTGTAGTAAGTACTACTCTCTCCATTTCTTTTTATTTTGCATGTAAATTTGGTCTTAAGTCAAACTTTCTAAATTTGACCAAGTTTTTAGAAAGAAAGAAATTTATCATGTCAAAATACCAAATCAATGTCGCATCCATCACAAAATATATTGTCCATATTATTTGATATTATAGATATTGATATTTTACATAAGGTTGATGAAATTTTACAAAGTTTGACTTCAAGAGATAAGCAATATGAGACTTAACCAAGTCAAAGTCAAGTGACATAACATGCGAAAAGATATTGCAAAAAAAAACATGTGAAAAGAAAAAATTACACGGATCTCCACGTATGACCCCACGAATATAGCATTAACTGAGCTTGAAAAAAGAAATGAAGCAATCGTGGTTTGAACTGGAAGTTGCTACGTGCTGCTGTTGCTGTAGTGAGTTTCTGAACGATTCGAGCTTCCGCGCCAAAGATGCGTGTTTGTACTCCCTCCGTCTAAGTGTGTAAGTCACATTAGAAGGTGCATCACAACCTAGGTACAAGCTGATTGGAGGAGAAGAAAAATTTTGACCGGTCCTTCTTCCAATCAAAACTCCAATCAAAACGTTGATTTCCTTCTTCTAAACATAGCATTTAATCGCAATAATTAAGAGGATGACATATTAACTACCATGCATGCCCACGTACTTCTAGCATGCAAAGCCGCATTGATTTCTCGCCTAATCAACGCATAGAGGTGCTGCATGCATTGGTCATTGCCTGAGAAAGAAAAACGGGAGGAGGGGTTTTCGCTGGAAGATAACGAGGTATAGGAGGCAAAGCTGGCTGGCGAACAAGGCTGGGAGGGAATCGAGATGAGAAATTAATGAACGGCGCCTAAATGTTTTGAGAAAATCTGATTTTCGTAAGGTGACTTACACACCTAAACGGATGAAGTATTTGTTTTTAAAAACAAAACGATCATCAAAACACCAACCGAACAATGACGTGGATCGAAACGACGACCGATATTAATTCGCCATCAGAAACTTCGGCGCGCCGAAAGCGAATTAGCTCATCTCTCGTTGTCTCGCTTCACTGCGCCCGCCGGCCACCCTTCTTCTTCTGCGCTTGCAGACAGATCAACGCCGGTCGAGCATTCGAGCTCTGCCGCGCCGATCAACGCCGAGGCCTATATAAGCCATGCGTCGCCTGTTACATCCACTCATCCATCCATCCACCATTCATCCATCAGCCACTTCACACCAGCAAGTGGCAGTAGTGCGATCCACACAAGTTTAGGCATGGCGACTCCGAGAGCACTCGCCCTCTGCGTCCTGCTGGCGATGGCCGTCGCCAACACCGAGGCGGCGTCAGTCGTCGTCGGCCTGGCCAAGTGCGCCGACTGCACCAGGAAGAACATGCAGACCGAGGAAGCCTTCAAGGCTGTGCAGGTGGCGATCAAGTGCAAGAACAGCGCCGGCGAGTACGAGAGCAAGGCGGTGGGCGGCCTCGACGGCACCGGCGCCTTCAGCGTGCCCCTGGCTGCCAACCTCCACGGCGCCGACTGCGTCGCTCAGCTCCACAGCGCCGTCTCCAACGCGCCCTGCCCCGGCCAGGAGCCGTCCAAGATCGTGCCGGTGTCCGAGGGCACCACGTACGGCGTCGTCGCTGGCGAGAACGCCGCCACGCCGTCTGCCGCATCGCCGGAGTGTGCGTCCATGACCCTATGCGGGCCGATCAAGAAGCACATCATCGAGCACTTCCACCACAAGAAGCCTGTGCCGCCGAAGCCGGAGCCCAAGCCCCAGCCCCACCCGGACTACGGCCCCGTGCCCAAGCCCGAGCCCAAGCCGCAGCCCCACCCGGACTACCACCCAGTCCCTCCCACCCCCACCTACGGCGGAGGCGGCGGCGGTGGATACCACGGACACCACTGAGTCCAGTCTACCATTGTACTCCTGCCCAGCGGGTTGGTTGTCAGTGAGTGATCGACGTTGCTATTTATGATCGGTTTGCATGGGTGGGTGCATTGTTTGGTCTTCTGCCATTCGCTGCCCCATTTTAGTATCTGCACTGCAGTCTGAGAGTTCATAATAACAGCTCTACGCGTGTGTATCAGGCAAGTGTGTGGGTGTGGTTGGTGTGTTTGCTTCTGTAATTTCGGTGAGTTCTCTTGTAGTACAAAGGTTTTTATGAATCAAGTAATTTAAATCAAGTCGATTTTGTCAACCGAAGTACACTGCAGCTGTTCCAGACGATTGATATGATAAGGACAATGTGATTTTGCCATTAGTTCCAGTCAATTTTCTGATCCGTGAACTGAAACTCAAGAGAAACTGAGGAAAGTGTGCAATTGGATTTGTCATGGACAACTCATGCCATTCACGTCGTAGGCAAATGGTAGCTCTTTTTTTTCTAGAAGCAAATGGTAGCTACCAGAGATCATATGCATACTGCCGGTCCTAGTTTTCCTATTATGGGAAAAACCACTTTTTGTCTTGTTAAGTCTTAGTCGACTGAGACTTCGTTAAGTCTTACTCGACACTAAGACTTCGTTAAGTCTCAGTCGATGTTATATCCGTCGGATCTTATATTAAGATTTGTGCAAAGTTTATTTTTCAGTTTTTTCTCTCTTGCATGTTATGTCATTTGACTGAGATAGTGTTAAATCTCAGCCGATTGAGACCTAGCCACACCCTTTATTAAAATTCAATATCGTCGAACAGCATGTGATTAACCAAAGCTTGAGCTTCCTCCTTGTTGGCGCCTTGTGCGGCATTAGGATCAACCGGCGCTCTGCTCACACGCTGCCTCCCGTGGCATGGCCCATCAACGCGTGCACATGGCTAGCTCGGGTAGCTTTGCTTTACTCTTTTTTTGAGTTGTTGGTTCACTTGATAATGTTGCCATTAACTAGATGTGTTGGCCTTCTGACACATTAACGAGTCAGGATATGCATTGGTCCCAATGATGATCGAAGTGTTGGTGATGACGATGGCTTCGAATTCCCCTTCCAAGAGGGATGAGTCTCTGGCAGATCAGCCTGCCAGAGGAAAAAAAGTGCTCCACCTCACAGATGACCGGATGCAAGGAGGGCAATCCTCATGGGTCGACTCCGGCTAATAGATAGGTTGGGGTTTTAGTCCTCCTATGGGCGATGCTACATATTCGAGCCGGTCTTTCGGGCTTCGATTCTTCTCGAGTTTGTCCGTTGGGACGTATCGACAAACCTCCGGCGTAGATTCTCGTCTGCTCCTCGGGTCGGCAAGGGTAGGGTTTATCGGCATGCGTACGCAATGATGATATTTGATGTTAGGTTCTTCCGATCGATTCAAGGGATCTACAACAACGATTGCAAATCCGGGGCGCTGGTCCTTAGGGGCATGTGCACCAAGACTTTCTAGCTATGATCGACAAGGTCAAGCCGGCTTCGGCATGGGAGCAACGACAACGACACGTCGTCGGATCGTTCTGGTGGTCAGTGGTCGTTCGATGGTTAATGGACCTTAATGTAATTTTTATTATGTTTGTGGTGCTTTGTAATTTTACTTCTGGTGAACCTTTATAATACTCCCTCCGTTCCTAAATACATGTCTTTTTAGAGATTTCAGTATACACTACATAAGGATGTATATAGACATATTTTAAATGTAGATTCACTCATTTTGCTCTGCACGTAGTCCATATTGAAAACTCTAAAAGGGCTTATATTTAGGAATGGAGGGAGTAAATCTGGATCCTTTTCACAAAAAAAAACTATGTTTAGCTATACATGAGCTACCTCGTTATCTTCTCTAAAGCATTGTTCAAACTTTACCTGTGTAAATCCATGTACCTGACTAAGCAGGTTCTCTCCTGCCTAAGTGCTACTGATTGTTTGGTCTTCAGCGGTCCGAGCCAAATATGCCCCCTTATGTACTTCAGCTGGACCGGGCCATGGCCCAGTTCACCTCCTGCTTAGGCTGAAAGAAGTCAAAGCAGAAGGGGCAGTATGAATGCATGATCCCTGGTAGCTGCAATTTTGTTTTTGACATGAATGCCATGAGTTGTTCATGACAGATCCATTTGCACACCTGCCTGAAGTCCTCTTGAGTTTGAGTCCATAGATCTGAAAACCGGCTGAAAGTAAATGATGGTCTCACACGACTACACAATGGTAAAACCATTTTTCGAGCAATGCTACATCAACGAACCATTACGAATGTTTTACGGGGAATTTTTGAGTTGG